TTTAAAAAAAAAACAAGGAGTCTTACCAACATAATTTACCTTGAAAAAAAATGAGCATTTGACCCCCTATTTAAATAGAAAAAATGGAAGCGCAAGTGACCTAGGGCCTTACTCAAGGCCATTGGGCCATTGCACAGCGTCATAGGGATATTGTACAGGGCCCTCTGCCCGCTGCTGAGCAGACTTGGGCCTCTAGGCAGCAAAGAAGCTGCATGAGGTGCGAGCCGGGTGTCACATCCCGAAAATTCCGTTTGTCAGTCCGTCTAACGAATGTACGTATCGAAACGTTACGTGAGAATTTGAATAAGTATCGACGAGTTACGAAAGAGTCAATTTCTGAAGAATCAGATATTATTACAAAACCACCACTACAAGGTCCCTCTACAACTACCTATCTTTTCGTCCGTAATGTCGTCTTACGAACTAACCGTTCTGACCTTACAATGTTTTTCATTACATTACGAGTTTTAGTTACGTGTTCCATCTAGCCGAATTCGTGCACGTCAATGCCATCTGTACCGACTTCATACATCCAATGGTCACGGTCAACATAGTCTTCTGCTACTGCAATTTCCACGCCATCCTTCCTTCCTACATGAACACCACCACCCCCATTTTTCTTTCTCCTAAGCACGCCACGTTGATCCCCAAACATTAGCCACCTTCTGCCACTTCTTCCTTCCAACATCATGCCACGCCATTGTCCTTTCTCACTGGAACTCCACCTACTCCGCCACCTCCTCCTTCCTTCAATTGCCGCCACATCAGCCGCTTCTTCAGTTCTCTTCACTTGTCACGATTGAAACCCTTTAAGCCACATAAACAGCCACATGCCAACACCCCCACAAGCCACCCAATTCCTACATGCAAGAGGGGGAAATTATTTTCATCCCCTTGTAATTACCGATTAACTTTCCTCTCAGTCAGTTCTGCCGGTTTCCCCTGCTCATCTTGTTTCATTCTGCTCGTTGCGGCTCGATTCCTTCCACGACAAATCCACGGCGTTGCTCGCCTGTTCCGCCCGTCAACCAGCCGCGGGACCACCAGGAATCTTCTCGCGCCGACAGAAACCTGTGAGCCGCGAACCGAAGAAGTGCGACCAGAAGCCGGGACACTCGGCACCCTCTGCCAGAACAGCGCCAAATTCAACCGACGTCGAGGCAAAAGTGGAATTCTGCCTCCCTATTCTAAACTAGGAACCAGTTGCATGTCGAATTGGTCATAGATTCGGGATATTGATGGAGATGGATGGCGTATGTGGAGGTCAACTTCTGGTTTGGGAGTTTCATGAACAAAAATTCTTGTGGATAAGTTTTGGGTTACTTGTTGAACTTTTGAGTTGATTTCCAGAATTGGTACTGCTGGATCTTTACCAATTTTCATTTTGTGGAACGAATTTGGGGAAACTTTCTCCATGAAAGTTGTTCAAAACATCTTTAAATATAACATATTTTAAATTCATATTTTTCTGAGTTCAAATGGGTTGCACGAAGACCCTATTTCTTACCGTGTTAAATCTGTCCAGTGCAATAAAATCAGTGACCTTTATGTCTTCTTGAATTTTTGTAAAATTTCTCAGTTCGAAATTTGACATACTTCCTTCACAAAAATTGTTTAATAAATCCATTTCTGCATCGTATAAAAATTTCGAAGTGTTTTGAAAGGATTTGATTTGCGAAATGAGTATTTATTTTAGTTCAATCATTCTGTTCCAGCGGGCCAGTTTTTGGTCTGCCTTTAAGATTCCGAATGAGGTATTTAAAAAAATATTTAGACTTTGAGTTCCCATGAAAATTGTTTATCAAGGTGTCTTCTACGACATATTCAAAATTTAGAATTTTTTATGTTCATTTACTAATTATTTTAATCCGATTTCGAAAACGGTGCAAAGCTGCCCAGTTTTACCCTTTTTTCAAAGATTCACTAATTTCTTAGGTGAAAACGTGGGAATCTCGATTTGATGTCTTCTGGAGATAGAATCTAAACATTATGAGCTTTCAAATGAGATTTGATAGACCTTGATTGGATATCAAATGATGGGACAAGTGAGGCCAAGTTCATAAACAAGCTTGTAACCGGCAAGCGATGTTAGGAAGGATTGATTGTTGTGTTGTTGTCTGTGTGACATTGAAAAAGATTGATTGTTGTTGGTGATCTGTGCATTGCATGAGTTGATTATATGTGTGGCTTGCTGGGTTATTGAATGCCGTCGGTTTATGGACCGACGATGCCCCGAGGAGCCGAAGAGAAAGCGAGATGCCTGGTTGTGAGAACCAGATGCCTAGGAGGATTCTGCCTTAGATGCCCTAGGAGTGTGATCAGGATGCCGTGGTCAGTGGATCACGAAGCCTGCGTGGGCCGTTGAGAATTTCGGCGTACACCGCGGCAGATCGGAGTGCGCACCGAACGCTGCCAGACGGGAGTGTTCCTCCTTGCGTGACCAGCGAGCGCACCAGGCATGTGACTTGGAGTGAGGAAATGATACCCATGCAAGTGTTGCATTATGTTCGCATGTCTGAATGATGCAATTGTTCGTTATGGTCAATGTTAAACTATCATCTTTGGAATGATTAATAGAATGTGTGCAAAAAGGTATGTTTGCCTCGTCTGGTATGTCCAAGTAGGTATTTGTCGTGTCTATGTTGATTGATGTGCACACTGTTGTTCGTTTAGTATAGGGTGATAGATATTTCCTTGTTGAGCTATGGCTCACTCTTGTTGTTGACAAACTTTTACAGATTAAGCATAAGTCTCCCACTGCCAGTAACCCCGGGTACTTTCTTTGGAGCCCCCGATAAGTTCAAGGGCCACCTCACCCCTTTCATCGACCTTGACTTTCCGATGGTCAGGTTGGTGCGCTACGATGCCACCCTTTGGATGGATATGGGTCTGTCTAGGCATCGGGTACCCCTACGCTTCGTCTCGATATTTATGGACGTGGGTGGTAGCTTGGTGGGGCCAATCAGATACCCGGTGGATGGCAGTAGTGGCGGCGATGCTGATGGCAGGGTAGAGAGAGTGGGGTAGGCGAGAAGGCAAGTAGGAGTAAGGGAACCATTTTTGGACGACACTACTTGGTACTTTTTGGGAGATAGTGTCGGATGTAGGGTGACACCTTTTGGATGATACCAGTATGCGAGACTGTATAGATGGACCCAATACGGGTGACTCGTAGTGATAGTCTCCCCAAGAAGGGATCTTCACGCTTGTATATCACCCGTGTTGATAAATAAAAAAACAGTTTAGTTCGGTGATAGTGTTGTCTTTCATAACGTCAGGCTTGCCTTATTAATAATTCATTTTATAAATACTGGCCTTAAAAGAAATTGCTTCCACATGTGAACAAATTTATAAATGGTAAAAATAATTCGGAATACCCGGAGTGGGGCGTGCCTGGGACGCTACATCATATCTCTCTTGAGTATTTATCACAATTTGAGCTGTGGGGAGTAGTCGATTTTGATCAAATTGATAGGCCTTATATGCAATTTAGTCTCACAGTATCAGGTAAATTCGTGAAAATGTGGGGATTAAGAATAATCTGCAAGCAACTAGGGGACGATTTAAAGGTCGAGCTTCGAGATAATCAGCTGATAGATCCAACTTTACTCTACAAGGTTAGTCATGAATCAACAGACTTAGCAGCCTAGAGTTCACATGTGCACGAAGATAATTCGAGCGAAATATATCTAGAAGAGGACTTGCAAGATTGTCGAATGAGCATCGAGAAACACAGTCAAATAGTATCAAAGAGAAATCATGAGCTTTTCTCCCTTGAGGCATGCGAATCAAGATCATGTGGACTTCTACTTCGATTGACAGAGATGAGTATGGCAGTGTTTGCTCGCTGCTTTTGCTGTTAGAATGATGGGAACTTGCTAAGGAAGCAACTTGTAGGTAAGTGAACGAGCCGACCTCGATTGCAATGCCTTTCTCTCTTCATGTTCTTCTCGTTTTCTTTTCTCAGAAATACTCGCCAACTCGTACCCGCTTTTACCCTTATATTAACATTGAGGTACTTTATATGTCCACTTTAATGTGTGTTAATTTTGCCAGCCACAACGATGGAAATGATCGGCCTTGGAGAGAGCTCGACAAGGAGAGAGAAGCTCGACCTGCTTCTCGACTTAATCTTTGGACTCACCGACCAAGAAAGCATGCGAAGGTTGTGGCTGGAGAGTTACGTGAGGAGGAGGCTGGGGGCGAATAATTTCATGTGCGGGGGGAGCACATTTTCAGGCGAAGGAGGAGTCGAACAAGGACAAGGTCGCGCGCGCTCTCACCTGCGGCAAGCATGCAAACATGGAGAGCGGTCACGATGGAAGATGATCTGGTCAGAACGTGGAGCGATGCTAGCACATGTAAAAGAAGTGGGGAAGTGATCGTGCGGGGTTTACCAACGTGGGATGTGCATTTGATGCCGGTGGAGTCAAAATTGGGAAGGAGAAGGCACAAACAATTTCCGTGGAGTATAAAAGGACCGAGAAGCAGGCATTAGTCTTTAGAGAAGGGACTTAGAGAGAGACGAGAGCACCCAAGAATACTCTCTCCGTGAGTTTTTTTTTATCTATCTTTGTTTTTTTTTCACTTTTTTACTTTTTCTTTTTTACTTTTTCTTTGTTCTCACCTTCGGTCCTTGCAGAGTTTCTTTCCCGTGTATTTTCGTTTCAAAATTTATTTCCTTTTAGATCTAATTTCAATTCCAGTGCGTCTACTTTTATTCGCACTTAGTTTCGCATAGATTCATTCCTCGATCCAACCCCCATTCGTGCATATTATACTCGAGTATGAAATCACGAAGTGATCTCGATTATTCTCTCATTACTCAATTATATGACTCATAAAAATATTATCAGAAGTCTTGACTATATAGCTATGCCGTTATATCATTTTTCTAAAAATGATATCTTGAAAACTATTTTTCGCCAAATAAAAGGAGCATATCAAAATTGATTCCGATCAAAATTGATTCTGATTTTCGTATTATAGAAGTATAGTATATCTTGGTCGATCACTTGCTTAAAGTAAACAATTTACCTTTTTCTGTTTTGCTCAAATCCCTTTTAATTAACACTGGCTAGTTAGCTTTATTCCCAAATAGAATTCTGTAATTCCTTCTTCTCTTTCTTCATTTTCTTTGATTTTTTCCCATCGTAAAGCTTCCTTCCTTCCTTACTTTCCTCTGCCGTAGCTGAACTTCGAACCCCCATCCGACTCCACCTTCAGCATCACCACCACTCCTCATCTTCCATACGACGCCACCAGTGAGCTGAGCTCTGACGACATGGAAGATCGCCGCCGCCTGCCAACGGAGTGGCGACCAACAGAAGAAGAAGAAGGAGTAGTCCGTCTCCCGTAAACAGAGTCCCTTGCGAACCGACGGCTGACGGAGACTGGCCAGCGGAGGCGACCTTAAACCATGGGAAATTGGTGACGTGGCTTCGGGCGAACGATTCTCTCCCTGAGGTTCGTTCTGGGTTTCGTGCAGCTTGCTATAGATCAGGTAACGCCCGGCACATCCGAATTTTAATTAAGTTGGTGTGATGGATTTTGAATTCGATTCGTTTGGTGCTGCAATTGCGCGGGAACTTGAACGATGTGTTGTTGAATTTTGTTGGAGTGACGCTGAATCAGTGTTTCTTCGTAAGTTTTGTCTGTGGATGCTTGATAGTGAATTCATAGATTGCCTGACGTTACGCGCTGCAAAATCAGCGATAATCTATGGAAGGTATAGCTTTTCTTTCTTTGTTTTCGTAGGTGGAGATTCATTGAAAAAAGTAGGTGAAGTCTAGGTTCAAAGGAAAAGCAAGCGAGGGAGAGTGAAATAATGGGAAGTACGGTGTGTATGGGTTGGTTCAATCCCCTTTTCAGGGAAAAAACTGAGCCAATCCTGGTGCTGTAGGTTGGGACTTGGGAGGGAAGGAGGGAGGGATTTGGGTGCTTTTGAGGTGTCTATGAAATGTGGATGTGTAGTATGTAATTATCATACAGATATGCAGCGGATGATAGGTTTGCCAGGAGAATTGAATTCTGAGAAACTTCAATCACTGGGATAGGGCTCTGTCTCTATGTTTTATGAGTCGCTTGAAGAGGCAAAACCATAGTCGAATGGAGATGATGCAGTGAGATGGCAAGCCACCAGGAAAGGTTGCTTGACAGTCGAGTCCTTTAACCACATCTTAACTTTGGCAACTAGGGAGAATTGAAAACCAAATTCACTTGGAGCATGAGAGTAATATGAACATTGGTCGTGCCGATGGATACATTGGTTAAGTGGTTATTTTCTTTTGCCCTGTGGTCTGTGGAAATTAAAAAGAAAAGAATCACAAGAAACACAGAGTTTGCAAAAGTTATTCAGTAGAATAGAGACAAAGGCACAAGAAGCTAATTGTCAATTCTGATTTCTGAGGCCTTTGCAACAGTTTAGGATTTTCTTTTTATACTTATGTGCCATAGCTTTTATGAAGGAAAATGACCGAGAAGCTGAAACTCCTGGATGCTTCTTGAATGTTTGAGTGAACCTGATTGATGAAAGATAAACTTCTGAGGTACCAATAATATAATTGGAATGAGCAACATATAGTTTCTCAAATTAGTTGCTGTTTTTGTTCAGTGTTGTTAGAGCCATATTAGTTTGAGTTTTAAGTGGGATTTGCATCTAATTACAGGATGATTATGTATTAATGATCATTACTTGGAAGTTTATGACTAGTATATTATACAGGACCTGCGAGATCTTGATCTTTTAGCTACTCATTCCATTAGTAGCTGTATTTTGGTACAGAAATATTTCTACTGCTGGCAAGTTGATGCTGATTTCCCCTTGAATTGCCTGTTTGCACATAGAGAAATTCTGACTATTTTACTAATAATTTTTTCCCCTAACAAGTAACAAGGCTTATTTGCTTTTTTCATATAAGGCAAAGCTTGATTTGGACAGCCTTGAAGTTCGAGTTGGGTAAAACTGATTTTCAGTAACCAGGTGCATTTCAGATATGTTACTTTATTTTCTAATTAAGATAATTAGTATTTTCATTCCTGATTAGTAAATGATTTCACATTGTACTTTATTTATATTATACCTTGATTGAACAGCTGTGTGATTGTTGAGGAAGGGCACATTATTGCAGCAGGAAGAAACAGGACTAATGAGAAGCAGAATGTATGTCTATGATTGCTTCTCCACCTCTTTATATAAGTTTTGGCCAGCAGCACTTTGCTGTTCTTCTAAATTGATACCCTCACATTATCCACTCGCAGTTATTGTTGATCTTTTTTGTGTTTCTGCCTTAAATATTTCTTTAATATATGATAAAATAGTATATCTGAACAAATCTGTTAAAAAGTGGAATTTTCTATGCATTATTAGGCTGTAAATGGTTTTGTTCTCATTATTCTTTCATAAAGTATAACTACGGCTAACAATAGCAAGAATCTTGCTTTCCTATGTACATTGTTTCACGTTTCTCGTTTGCCATTGAGCTCTGCCTGAATTTTGGACCGAGAACAGTCAAAGAAAAAGCTTCAATGAGGAGAGAGAAAGAATAGGGGAATGATATTTATTTATTTATTTTGAATAGAAATAAAGCTGTCGCAAGCTGCTGGATCAGAATGTTGAGTGCTGATAGATTGTGCTGTATTGCATGTTTGAATATGTTAATTAGTACTTGATCGCCTCAACAGATTATAAATTTATAGATTATTCTGGGTATGTAGTTATTGCTTTACATTACATGATAGGAAGTTGTTATGGTGGCTTCACCTCTCTTGATTAAAAAGGCGTTGTGAGAGATGCAAAATTCCGAAGTTTTTGGAAGCAAGTTAATAGACTTTGCAAAATCTCAAGTGTAGGGAGGATAACTGCAATTTCACATAAAATTTCAGAGAACATAACACTTGAGTCATAGAAATTAGATTGAATACCGAATAGTAAGGTGTATCGATGATTCTGTCCACACCTTCACATTGAGGAGAAAAGAGAGTTGTCCATGCTTCATGCATAAGATCCTCTCCTAGACAATTAGTGTTGTCGGTTTTTGAAGAAAGAACTGAAATTTCTGGTTAAGGTGTATCGATGATTCTGTCTTGGAGACGGTGGTTCTTTCAATAGGATTCATTATCTAATGTAGTTGGCTTTGAAGAAAATCCTATCCCTAGGATACAACAATCTTCCTTACTTGGTCTACATTGGATGAACACAATTCAAACCTTGAAAGTATAGTCAACATGGAGCAGATAAGAAAGAGGCGATTTGAAGAGGAAATATGCGAGTTATAATTGTGTTACTATTATTTGCTTGGTTAACTATTTTTTATTTGCATTACTAATGCTCTCGACACTAAGAGGAAGAAGGAAATGGCACTAAGAGAAGCACCAATTCAAAGATAAAATATTGGACTCAAATGTTAAGCAAGAGTAAAAAAAAAGTAAACGTGAAGGAGAAAATATTTTCATGAAATGCATTTCCTAAATTATGTTGAAACTACACTAAGAGAAACTTTCTCTATGACAAGCTCCTAAGTTTGATATGCTTTCTTTAATTTTTCCTTTGCACTTTCCTAGGTAACAAGACGTGCAGAATTGGAAGCTCTTGATGTTCTTCTTGAACACTGGCGGAGGACTGGATTTTCGTCTGCAAAAGTTGCAGAGAAGTTTTCAGCATACTCCCTTTATGTGACATGTGAAGCATGACATGTGCAGCAGCATTATCAATTATTGGTACATCTATAAATCACACTGAAATAAAACTAAACTTTTGTAAAATTTGTTTATTCATAAATGATTAGATGACTCTTAGCCATTTTTGGGTATAAAGGAAGTATATTATGGCTGTGCAAAAGATAAATTTGGAGGCTGTTGCATTCAAGTAGCTCCAAGGCATGCATTAGGTCAGTTTCTGAACTTGCTTTTGTTGTTGATTTCGTATCTACTTAGCTCCACTTTGAAATTGTGACACATGACAATTAACAACTAAAGCTTTGTGGAGGTTGTTATGATTCCTTATGTTGATTACTGATGGATGTGATTTCGTAGTAATTCTGTTTGTTGTCACACTTTGAATATTGCGACACATAACCATGAAAACAAATGGAGGTTTATGGAACTAATCTTCCACCTTTTCTGTCCTTTTCCAAGTCTAAATGGAAGAAAGTCAAGTTTCCGGAAGTGTCATGAAGTCAAGTTTATATTATTTTTTCTTTCCCGGATTTGTTTCCTTTTTGTAAAAATTTTATGAGACTCGTTAGACATTTGTTTTTTTTTTTGCTGTTTTTTTTTCCCTAAAGACTTTACCGTTCTGGGAACTACAACAAGTTAACATAACACTAGTTTTTTCTTTCCTTTTCCCTTTCCCCCACTGTTTCTTTTTTTTGGTTTCTTCATCTCCAACTGTTTCTTCATCTATTTCCTCGCTTTTTTCCATTGCAGCGAGATTCTTTGATGTCTTTAATGCTATCAAGTTTAAAGCGGGGAATATAGCATCTTCAAAGAAATATGATTTAACTATGAGGAAATTATTCTTTCTGATATGTCATGGCCAATGTACTCGATAAAGAAATCTCTTTTCTCATTTATTAGTTGCAATTGTCTCTTCTTGCATACATGAGGGCATGGGCTTGCTAAATTGTGGTGTATGGCATGTGTTTCCAGTATGATTTTTCTTTTGTCTGATGCTGCCATGATCTAACATTTCATGTTTCCTGAGATTGTCCAGACTTCATCAATTTCATACTTGACTTTGTCGACATAAAGTAGAGAGAGGGAGGGTGCAGCGCATGGGGGTGGACAACATAAACTTTAACATTTCATTGTGATTTGAGCGGAACATAAAGTAGCTAATATAGATTATGGACAATGTCTTTCTGTTGAATTATTAGTTTTGAAAGAAGAAGCTCAAGTAGAGGGAGAAGGGCTTGGGGGGGTGGGGGTGGGGTTGGGCGGGAGGGAAGCAAGAGAATGAGTAATGTGAGATTTGGTGGGACCACTACCAACTGTTCTAAAAGCTTAAGCTGTTGGATGAAGGCGTGATTTAATATTTAATTATTCTAACACTCCCCTTCATGCTTAATCTGGTCTTCTTGCCTAGTATCAAGCGTGGACATATTTAATTGGAGAGGCAAATGGGGCCTGGAAAGATTCGAACTCAGGACCTCCAGCTCTGATACCATGTGAAATTTGGTGGGACCACTGCCAACTGTTCTAAAAGCTTAAGCTATTAGATGAAGGCGTGGTTTAATAGTTAATTATTCTAACAAGTAAAAAATTTTAGGGGGGAAAAAATAAGCGACGAAAACTCTGACTTTTAGAGTTAGAAATTGATACTTATGCTGCTCTCAATAATCTGATTATAAGGAAGAAGCAAGAGTTTGAGTGAAAAATTTTAGGGGGAAAAATAATAAGCCATGAAATCTGACTTTTAGAGCTAGAATTTGATACTTATGCTACTCTTAAGAATTTGATTAGAAGTCAAAAGTATTGTGGGAAGCATGAACTAGCTCATTGCCTTTCTGAATATGACATCAAGCAAGAGGACACATCTTGCAGATAAAGTACCGCCTTGCACAATTTCTACCTTGGGGAGCTAAAAAACTAGCCCTAATTATTGCACAGTTTCATTAGAGAGAATGAGACCGTTGTTATAGTGGTGAGCATGGTTCATATCCAATGTTTGGAAGATGTAGCTAATTGAAACCCATCGTAGCCAGTATTAGTATACAAGTCATTTGCAAATCTTCTCTCTATCAGATTCCCTGTGCCAATAGCTCTCTGAAGAGAACTTGCCCATCCGTGTTAAAAACCTCGAAGTATCCCCTGTTTACAGCTATTGTTTGTTCTCCAAGGACATTAGGTTTAAGTCATTGCTACCCCAAACACACCTCTTTTAAATCTGATGCAAGAAGTTTGTCAAGGTATAGAGCCTAGTTACTGTCAATTGAAGTGAATGGTACACGCCTAGTTACTGTCAATTGAAGTGAATGGTACACTTCAGAGATAATTTACTTGCCTGAAAACCTGTTTCCTTGATATTCTTAGGACCTAAGCGTAAACTTCCTACGTTGAGCATATTCCTTTATCGGCGAACTTGTTTTTGCTTAGATGGTACCTTCTTTTGCAAAGTGCTTTGTCAATTAGTCTGCTAAATTATATCTTGCTTGATATTTGGACATGTTTTGCAAATGGAATCTATCTCAGGTTTCAAGCTGACGAGCTAGGTAAAAATGCATAATTATCAGAAATATTGGGTGGTTTTCACAGAAATTTCATCTATGTTTCCTCTTTCAAGTGTCTACCTGATTTATGAATGTTTCCTACTTTTTTCTTGTTTCTCTTGCAGTAATGGAAATTCTGGATCAAAGTGTTTCAAATGTTGTGGAGGTATAATGGCATCAGAAGCAATTTCTCTTCTTTGAGATTTTTATGAATGAGGAAACCCTGATGGTATTAACGGCGATCAACCATTTTAACCAGCTGAACTGTCTGTTCAAAAGAATGTTAAAATACTGTAGTTAGCATCTATTTACATTAGACAACTTAAGGGAAATGATCGTTCTTTTTCAATGGACCCATAGTTAAATGCACTCTTTAAGAGGCTTTTATGAGCATAATAGAGCAATTCTACCTTTTGAACCAAAGTTTACTTTATCAATCAATGGACTTGAGCATTATGCCTGCTAGCAACATCTCCCTTAAGGACCCTTCCGAATAAAGCTCTTTCAAAATCTAATGCTGTGGTCTTCCTAGCACTCATAGCCATTCATATTGATTGAGAAGAATTGAGGAAGCCTCGTTCTATTTCTACTTTTCAATCAATTCTCTCAACCAGCTAGAGAGAATTGTAGCTGGAGCTTTTGGTAATTTTGTAGATCTTGCTGAACAACTCTCGTTCTCTCTCTCTCTCTCTCTCTCCCTCTCTCGTCCATATGTAAATGGTTTTTTTCAGTAAAAGATGTTGTACCCTTGGTCTGGAGAATTATCTACTCACATCCCAGGTAAATAAAGCTGGCCCAGTGGAATTTTTTTTAATTATAAAGGATAATGAAATTGGAAGCATAGAACTAGTGGGTCGTTGTCTGCATAAGAACCCATTCAGAAGTTTGATGCATCAAGGATAAGGTGCACATCTTGAGATGGTGGGTACACTTATCCTTACCGACAATAGGTATAGTTGCTTCAGTGCAATGGTGTTCAGCCATATAATGGTTGCTATGAATAGGCGTAGAATTTACCAGTAAACAAAAAGGTAGAGTTTCAGATACCCAGTCTTTCCTTTTGTTATGGAAAAAGATGAAGTTAGTTGATAGTCTGTTGGTTAGACTGATTGGGAGAAGTATCTTCTCCCTTGATCCCTATCGTGAATTACTAAACATATATGGTTCTTGGTTGAGCAATTCTCCAATTTGAGCTCTTCAGTTGTAAATATTTTAAGAGACTGATCAGACCATAACCTTTTCATGCTTCTGAGATAATTAGTACGCTTTGTAAACTCATGACATACAGAAAAGATGGAATTGAAATAATTTGTCTATGCTATGATAAAATGAACTGTGTTTTCTTCTCTGTTTCATAGAACCCCGTAACATGAATATCATTTCTTTTCGCCATTTTCCCCTCCTTTTCCATTCATTTGCTGTTTATGACAATGTGGAATATATGATTTGTCTTGAGTATTATAGATATATGCTGAATGCTAATATTTGGATTTCAGCTCCAAAGCCTCACACGGCACGGGTTACTCAGGCTTCTCACTAGATCTGCGTGCATTGATTCTTCCTGTTGAATACTCTCATGGCTTTGCATGACTAGGTAAGACCCTTGGATTATGATTCTCGCTTCTCTGAACATCCTGGATATCATGTATGGTATTATGATGCAACTCTGCTGCATACTGAATGATTGTCAATAACTTGTGCATAGAAAAAGTGGGCTGCATGGTATGACCTTCTTTAGTATAGCCTGTTAAAAGGGAATGGCACGGATTAGGGCGCTGTGGCAATGTTTCTTGCTGTGGCAGTAGGATATGATGCACATGCTAAGATTGAGTATACCTATAGCTATAGATTTCCTTGTATGATAGTAGTCAATCACAACGAGGATGCTATAAAGGTCTTCAAGACGAAATTAGACAACATCCTTGCTCTTCATTCCTGATTCTTGGATTATTCTGATTATATTGTTCATTGTTCTTATTCCTGTAAGTTAATCTCTTCATTCGACTATAACCTAAGTCAAACTTGCAGTTCAAGGTAGTTCCCATTCTTGAGGTGAACTCATTGCAAAATTCCTATTGAACTATAGTTTTCTTACTCTTTGTATTCTATATGTAAAACGCAAATCTGGATGTGACATCATTGGTGCCGATTCTAGCACAATAAGATTCTCTCCTGTTTGTGTGTGATGTCAGAAACAATTAATTATTTTGTCTCAAGATCTTACAAAATTTAATAATCACAGTGTATTCAGACAGCCTTTAAGTATAGAGATCCGTGTGAATATTGTTGATGATGATTCGCATTCTTTTTCAATGGTAAGAGGATGTAGTTAGACATCTAGCATCCCAGAAGTGTCTTCAAAATTCAATGCAATCTGACTGACAATGCATGTGCCATTTACTGCTTTTCCAATCACAGAATTTCATCAAGGAACCGTGAAACGAAGCATGATGCTTGTCCATATCAGTATTTGCCTGGATGTTCATGTGTTTGCAGAGGGTTACAGTTGTGATTGGAAGTCCATTTCTTGCTTTAACTTGAGTATCATATTGTTAAGATAATTTAAGGTATAAACTGTGTAGGCATTCTGATGCTAATATTTGTCATCAACGTATTCTGTAATCTAGCTTATTTTTTTTACGAGTTTTTTGAACTTCTGAGTTATTTTGGTTGGGCTATTGATGTGTGTGAGCTCCTGTTCCGGACTATATCACGTGTCATCCCTAATGATGATAAAGAGGTCAATGATTTACATGTGTTTCGTGTGGATTACCTGGCAAAGAATTGCAATGACCGGATTAAGGTTCCCGGTTATATCGATTATGTCATAAATACTTTGAATTTAAAATAATGATGAGTCATTTAGTGTCTTGATCATTGTTGACTTTGCCTAGCATATTATTGTGAGAAAATCTCGGTGATTTGATTGGTCACGTGTCGACCATGATTGGTTGAGATAGTTACGCGGTGGCTCCAAAAGTACATGAAAATCTTGATGTTTTCCTCTGTCAAGGGGCAATTGGCAAATGCTTCTTCCCTGAGTGTGCCTTCATTACTGTTCAATCCTGAAGTGACCTCTTTTCTTCTGGTAATAAAATGTCAAAATTTGTGTTTTTTTAAGCTAGTAATGAATGTGTTAGTATCATGTCTAGTAAAACATAGAAAATACCAAACCATTTGTCCGAAAGACCATAGTCTAAAATGAACAGGAAGATGGTGATTTTGAACCCTTAATCCATTAGAACCTTTTATGAACGATCTTTTCTACGTTGAGTATCAGTTCTAATATGTTAATTTCATGTCGTGATATGATCTGGGTTGTGGGATTTGCGATCTAGAAGTTTCAGAAATTTTTGGAATAAATTTTAGACCTAATAGACAAGCTTCAAATTGGACGTAGATTTCTGTTCATGTGTCCAAATTGGATTCATTATCATATTACCCACAGCAATGCTGGTCATTTCGCACCTTTAATTTTGAATCAATTCCATTCGGGGCACCTGCATGCATGGGTAAAATTCCTCGTAATTTTACCGAGTGTTAATGGTAGAAATTCCTCATAATTGGACCGTCATAGGCTAGTAAATGCATGGTTGAGCTTCGCGATTCTTGTTCCGATCTTAATGACGGTTTAATTGTGTGCAATTTCGAGTTATTATGCATTTACACGAGAGTGCATTTGACTGGCTATAGAGCTATTTAGAAGCTTTTCCGTTATGGGGTCTATCTCTTGATAAATCAGAGACTACTAAAGAATTTAATCAGGATTTTCGATGATTAATATTTTACAAAATCAAAATTGAGCTTTTGATTGAGCTCCAAAAGTGTCGAATTTGCTGTGTCTTTAAATTCGATCCAAAAGAAAAAAAAACAGCAGGTCATTTCTTTTTTTGTCGAAAAAAAGATTCTATTCATAGAACAATATCTGTGAAAGGTACATAGAAGGCATACAAGTCTAGCAAATCACAAATCACTGCGAAACAAAGCAAATACTAGAACGCAAATAACAAACCACAAAGCACAGTCTACAGCTAAAACCACACTCTCATTCCTCAAAAATAGATCTGCCATAGTAAACATTCGGCAGCCGATCATCAGATTCAGTGATGAGCATATACCGACATACCCCACCCCATATGCAACGGCTTGCGGTGCGCGTCTAGGTTCAACATCCTCGTAACCATTGCCGTGTAGAGACACCAACATCAATTTGTTGAAAGAATGCAGATCAAATACTTGAAAGGAACTCTCAAATCTGAACCTAAATTAGGAGAGTAAAAACCCCAAATCTAGACCATCTAAATCGGGAGAGAATAGTGGTTTAGGGTGCGAATGGTAACCATTCTGCTCCAGAAATCAAATTTTTGCCAGAAATTGAATTCCGAAATTCTTGCGAAATTGATTTCTAGAGGAGAAATCTATTTGGTAAACCATGACTAATCTCGTCAGAAATTGATTTTGGCAATCTGTTTTGATTTGTTGATTTTTTTTGCACCTAAAAAAATTTAAATTTTACTCAAAGTGGGTGGCCACATGTATTATAAGCCATTCAGTAAAGTTTTGAAATTTTTTTATTTTTTTTAAATTTTTTTGGGCACCTAAAAAAATTTAAATTTCACTCAAAGTGGGTGGCCACAGGTATTCTAAGCCATTTTGTGAAGTTTTGAATTTTATTTATTTTTTTTTTTTTTTGGGCACCTCAAAAATTTAAATTTTACTCAAAGTGGGTGGCTATGAGATATTCTAAGCCACTCTGTGAAGTTTTCAAATTTTTTATTATTTTTTTTTTTTTTGGGCACCTCAAAAACTTAAATTTCACTCAAAGTGGGTCGCGGTATTTTAAGCCATTTTGTGAAGTTTTGAAAATTTTTATTTTTTTATTGTTTTTTTTTTTTGGGCACCTCAAAAATTTAAATTTCACTCAAAGTAGGTGGCGGTATTTTAAGCCATTTTATGAAGTTTTGAAATTTTTGATTTTTTTGGGCACCTCAAAAATTTAAATTTCACTCAAAGTGGTGGTACATGTGTTTTAAGCTATTCTGTGAAGTTTTGAATTTTTTTATTTTTAAAAAAATTCACCAAATTTCATATTTTCCCGAAATCTGACTTTTTTTATTTTCTGGAAATTTTTATGAATTTTTCTAGAATTTTTCAATTTTTATGCATTTTCTGAAAAAAAAATTGTGAGAAAATAGGAGAATGCATTCGGAATCAAGAAGCTACAAAAAGAGCTTCTCTTTTCTTGCCAAAAACTCATTCCGGAATCAAAAATGCATTCGGAATCAAGTATTTTTAACAAACGCATTTTTTTTCGGAATGCAAAAATCGCTCCAGAATGCATTCCGGAAATTTTTTAACAAACGCCATTCTGTTCCGGAATGCATTCCGGAACATAATTTTTATTTCGGAATGCATTTCATGCGCACCCTTAATCTCGGAGAGATTGTGGAGCCACGTCACGAACATCTTTCTCGATAACTATCGACTAGACGAATGACCGAACTAAACTCCACATTCACCCAAGATCAACTGCAAAAACTTATTCACGCATAACTCTCAAAACAGATCGGGAGAGAAAAGAAAAGACAGTCAAAGCAAAGAAAAAGAAAATTAAAAGCGAAGTAGGTTCTTAGCTTTAGAAATTGAAGTCGAGAGCCTATCCTATGATAGCTTTAAAAGAGGGAAGAGTTTTATGGGAGATGAAGGGGTTTGGGGAGATAAAGTGGGGAGATAACAGCTGGTCATTTTTGGGTGGCAAATTGGGTCGAGCGACTTGGACAGAGGTTGGAGAAGACCGTACGCCTGTGCAAGGCAAATGCCACGTGCGGAAGAAGCGTGCGGGGGTGTATGACAGCTTTTTTTGGCGTTGTGCACCATGCGGTCTTTCGAGATTTATTGGTATACATGCATAATTTTCTAGGAGCGAGGTGCTGCAAATTACTATAATATATGAGGGATGTAAATGTAATAGCATTAGGCACTCCCCTTAGTATGGTACAAGGGTTATATAATCTATTTTGCGAATATGCACGTAATTTTGCTTGGGGTATTTGAGATTCAAGAATACAATGTTAAACTTAAATTTTTTGATATCTCGAGATACATAAGATTTCGTATCTTATCCAAAGCAGTCATGAGTGAATATGCATAGAAAAGGTGTTTGGTGCACAATCACATTGTATAATCGAGAAAATACTCACATTTTGCTGTAAATGCTAGGCCACCAAAGTGACACGTGTACAGCAACATTTTGAGAATTTTCCTCTATTAATGTCGTCTCAAGCGAATCTTCTTTGTTACTTAATATCTATCCCACCGTCAACTCACCTTGTAGCAAGCCGACCGAAAGCAAAGTGGTCTCTGGCATCCAAAATAACTCACCCAAAGTTCACTTTTTGGAACTCCAATGGCTATCATCGTGGTGGTCGCTTGCTCATTGGACGGGGGTGATTGATTTTCCTTTGTCAATCTTTCTGGCTTTCTTTCTTCTGTTTTAGTTGTCCAGAGAAGATCTGGGTTTAAAGTTTTGACTAGTAGTCTTGTGTTTTGACGAAATAGCATCGTGGACGGCGAAATACCTTTTAGCAAAAGTTTGATCTTTAATTGTTAATATGAATTGGGTTCTTGGGCGATTCTGATAGGAACTAATTTGCGTAATAAGGATTATGGATGATAACTAAAGTGAATCTAGAGAATTTAAAGAATAAAGAATAACAAATAGATAAAACTGGAAACTGGAATTGGATAAAAATTGCACAAGTGTTATGGATTGCCGATCATTTACAACTAATGCCTCTTGGCATTATATAGCCTTGTACAAAATATAACCGTCATTGTGCGGTTATTGTTCAATTACAAATTTCAACTGACTTGGCTTCACGTCGATCATCCTTAACTACTTGTTCTTATCATAAGCGATTATGATCTTCTGCATGTCCTAGGGCTTGACTTTTCTCTAGTCTTTGCTTACTACTGACCGTTTGTCGTCGCACGTCAACGACCATCCCAGACTACGACTCTTCTTAGATGACTGTGGGTCTCGTGACATTAATTTGGCATCGGCTATTCACCGATTTGTGATCGTGTTGCTTGCTGGCTCCATCGACAACCTAACGTGGACCCATCATGACTTGGTATATTTTTGGGTGCCAACAATATTGGAGTCATTGGAGTCAAATGTTCTGTCTCAAGGAAATAAACAAAGGTCAAAAGCGCGGGGCAATTTTGTAATTCCAGCCCATTGAAGCAGCCTACTAGATGGAGAGCATAGCAATGCGATCCGATAGTTTCACCAATTAGATCCACCTCTTTCGTTTTCTATTTGTTATTCAAGTGGAGTGTGTATGCTCTATCTAGCAGGAGGGTTGTACATTGCAGATCTAGATTATCTTAGGCATTGAAATATGGCTGGCTACCCGCCAGATGTTCCTTTTTCCTTTCTTTTCTAAGTTTGTGTAAATTGCAGCCGTAAAGAACTTTTGGGAACTCTGCATCTAGTCCATTATCACTCTTCAAAGTGCCGAGCCATCAAAGAAAGACATCTAGTTCGCCAGCATCCAGCTTTTGTGTGTACAATCTATTCAAAAGAGAGAGAGAGATTTGCATTTGTTCTGTGGTTCAAGGGGGAGTTAATGGTTGGC